ATATATATATACTGTATACTGTATTTGTTTCAATGAAAGTTTATTTTGTGTCAAGTAATAGTAACTACTAAAAGTAGTAACCCTGGTACTGAAAAGTATTCCCTAGAACTCATATACTATATTTTAATTCTTCTGCAAAGTGAGGAAAAAAAGAGACCAAAATGTAAGATAGTATTACTGACAACCTTGCTTGACAGCCATGGTCACCAGTGGACATCAGCAGCTTTGACATTTTTCTAGATCTCTGCAATTTTGTTCCACAGAAGAAAGAAATGAGTATTAAAATAATATTAACGTGAACTATCCCTGTAGGCAGCAGCAAAATACCTCACTTTATCTCCGGTCTTCTTCAGAGCACGTTTTTAAAGACCATTTCCCATCGCTCTGTAAACTGCCTTACATGTCTTACAGCAAATAAAAAGTCACCCATGCAGAAACAGACACTCTGCCTTACAAGCCAAATCCCAGGAGGACAATAATAGTTCATTCCTTTCATTATTTTATTCCCATTGCAGGGGGTTATAAATTTAACAAAGTCGTCTTGAAACTCTTCCAGAAACTCCCAGGGCAGCCCTAAGGTTTAATGGAGCGTGCATGCTCTTATCTTTGGTAAGGGCCATTTGGTTACTGGAGGATGGGAGAGGAGTGGAACATTAGCACATTAGCATGTGATGCCAAGGTGATCATATGCTGCTGGCTGTTTGTATTGGGCATTAAAAAACAGCACTGCAATCAGGGAAATGAATTCAGCTCTGCGCCTGATGTAGAGGAGAAATAAGCTTGTGGATGTCTAATGGTAACACGCTTTGTTCCTGAAATGACACACTATGAAAGCTGTCGCTTGTGAAAAAAGTTAACTTTAGCATTCTTTTAAAAAGAGCACTTAATGAAGTCACTAATGAACTTAAATTAAAATGTATTATATTTATATTTATATTAAATGCAATTATTTGAACTTTAAAGTGTTATTTTGACCCACTTAAGTACATCTTTATGTAATTTCATAATGACTTTCATTGTCTTTGAAACACTAAAATATATTTTAAAGTACTTCTTACTGAAATGTATATGTCATGTGTTTAAATATATTTGTAATTACACATTTGTAATGCTGACGTTGCAATTTAGCTCATTTATTAACTTTAAATGTAATCAAATAAAACACCACAGTTAAAATCATAATCAAGTATTTTACGTGTGCTTTAGTATGTTAGTCAACACATCAAAATCAGTGTACTTCTTTGCATGAGACCAGATTATTAAAACATGATATGTGCTTGAAAGTAAAACTTTTATTTTGACATTATTACAAAGTGTACTTAAGGGTCTGCTCTCTTTAAGTACACTTAAGTGTCGTTTTATTTCAATAAATTTATATTAAAAGCAAGTACAGTTTTTAAAAATATATACTTTAAAGGTGACATATCATGAAAATCTGACTTAAGTGCTATAATGAGGTCCCCAGTGCATCTACCAACCAAGGAAATGTGGTTGGTAGACACTATTTAGAGTCCCAGCCTCAGAGGACACAAGAGAGCAGTGGATTTATTGATTTATTTACTGTATATTGCTGCTGCCACACAGATCTAAAATAAACATGCAATTTATTTCCCAGCTGTTTACCTTTTGCAACTCATGTGTGTTTTTAACTAAACTTGTGTGTGAATGAGAACTTAGTTTAGTACTCACATGCTGTGACAGCCGCTTTCTGTCCGTGTGCTTCGAATGTGTGCGCTCAGGAAACCGTATATCAGAAGTTTAAATTCATGTGGTTTAAAACCCATGATTTCAGCGCGATAAACATGACAATCAGAACCAAAACAGATGTTTTTAGCAGGTAGGAGCTGTAATGACGTAGCTCTATTCTGGAAAAGATGGCGGGGAGCAGCAGCTCATTTGCATATAAAGAGACAGGCCCGATAAACAGCTTGTTTCTGGCTCCACTCAAAATAGGCATTTTCAAAATGATATAATAAATTATCTGTAGGGTATTTTGAGCTGAAACTTCACAGACACATTCTGGGGACACCTGAGACTTATATTACATATCGTAAAAAGGGGCATAATATGTCTCCTTTAAGATGCAAAGTAGCCTATACTCAAAGACTAGAATACATTAAAGGGACTTTGGTATACTTCAAGTACACATTCAATACATTTAAGCACATTTCTGTGGCAAATTGGTGAATATTTCATGATCTGAGATGGTTTAAATGGCTATTATGAAACATAGTTCCTACTGTAAATTCTGATTAGATAAGTTGCATATAAAGTTGTTGTTAAATAGACCACAAACACACATCTATGAGTGCATTCTTTATTAATATAGCGAGTTACTTGGCACCATAAACCTGTTGTCACTTAATGTGGCTATTTATTGAAAATTGCTGTCTGTTATCATAAAACTGTTTGTGCTTCATGTTGTGCTTAAGAAAACCTCTTACCTACAGTATCATTAGTTCCAATTAGCTTCTGCAAAAAGCAGCTTTCTACATCAGCCATTCCTAAGATTCAGTGTATTTTGATGAAAGGTTTTTTGAAATGTTTCTTTTCCTTTTTCAAGCAATTATATGATATTAGATGTTTACCAGTGCCCAATATTTCAGAGTACTCTTAAAAGCATGAAAAAGGCTTATATTTTCCCCTGTCTGCTGTCTTTGACGTCAATGCTCAGGGTAGTTCGTAATGAAGGGCTTGAGACGTGACTGGCGCTGAGACTGGAGGGCAAAACATCCATAGAACAGGCCTGTTAATTTTCCATCTGTTTCAGAATATCTAAATCACCCTTCAAAAGAATGATGGTACACTGACTTCTATTAAGGCAAATGGCTTGTGTTTCTTTCCCACGCTTCCCTCCAAACGACTATTCTGAGAGTATGAAAGGTTGGTGAGCGGGTACGAAATACTGCAAAATGGCAGATTGTTTCACGGCAGTGACAAATACACGTGTATAGATATCCACTGTAATTATGATAGATGTATACATTTATGACAGTGAATCCTACTTACTTAAATGTAGGGGGCGCCAAAGTCCCAGAAATTACACAAAACTACACGTGAAACGTTTGTGCGCATTGAATTCATATCCTGGATTTATCTGTTTGACTGTACATAGTATGTTTTATTAATAAGGTGTACTAAATTTGGCACTGTGTTAATGGATTAAGCATTTTCTTTATAATGGTTTTCTATGGGAAACTTAACATACAATTCAGCATATTGCGTGACTTGCGTTCCGATTCTGTGCGCATTTGTTCACTTATATATATAGTATGCTACAGTTTTTAAAAATATATACTTTAAAGGTGACATATCATGAAAATCTGACTTAAGTGCTATAATGAGGTCCCCAGTGCATCTACCAACCAAGGAAATGTGGTTGGTAGACACTATTTAGAGTCCCAGCCTCAGAGGACACAAGAGAGCAGTGGATTTATTGATTTATTTACTGTATATTGCTGCTGCCACACAGATCTAAAATAAACATGCAATTTATTTCCCAGCTGTTTACCTTTTGCAACTCATGTGTGTTTTTAACTAAACTTGTGTGTGAATGAGAACTTAGTTTAGTACTCACATGCTGTGACAGCCGCTTTCTGTCCGTGTGCTTCGAATGTGTGCGCTCAGGAAACCGTATATCAGAAGTTTAAATTCATGTGGTTTAAAACCCATGATTTCAGCGCGATAAACATGACAATCAGAACCAAAACAGATGTTTTTAGCAGGTAGGAGCTGTAATGACGTAGCTCTATTCTGGAAAAGATGGCGGGGAGCAGCAGCTCATTTGCATATAAAGAGACAGGCCCGATAAACAGCTTGTTTCTGGCTCCACTCAAAATAGGCATTTTCAAAATGATATAATAAATTATCTGTAGGGTATTTTGAGCTGAAACTTCACAGACACATTCTGGGGACACCTGAGACTTATATTACATATCGTAAAAAGGGGCATAATATGTCTCCTTTAAGATGCAAAGTAGCCTATACTCAAAGACTAGAATACATTAAAGGGACTTTGGTGTACTTCAAGTACACATTCAATACATTTAAGCACATTTCTGTGGCAAATTGGTGAATATTTCATGATCTGAGATGGTTTAAATGGCTATTATGAAACATAGTTCCTACTGTAAATTCTGATTAGATAAGTTGCATATAAAGTTGTTGTTAAATAGACCACAAACACACATCTATGAGTGCATTCTTTATTAATATAGCGAGTTACTTGGCACCATAAACCTGTTGTCACTTAATGTGGCTATTTATTGAAAATTGCTGTCTGTTATCATAAAACTGTTTGTGCTTCATGTTGTGCTTAAGAAAACCTCTTACCTACAGTATCATTAGTTCCAATTAGCTTCTGCAAAAAGCAGCTTTCTACATCAGCCATTCCTAAGATTCAGTGTATTTTGATGAAAGGTTTTTTGAAATGTTTCTTTTCCTTTTTCAAGCAATTATATGATATTAGATGT